AAATTTGAAATTGAAGTGCTTTGTAAAAACTTAAGCATCGATGTTGGAGTAAGTTTTACAACAACTACGTAAACTATAATTTTTTTAGTTTGTTTTTTAGTTTAGTTTGTTCAAATAATGAGGTAATTATTTGATTGTATAGGAATTAAAACCAGCAGTTTATTTAAAAGATCCTGAAAAATTACGTAACTTAGATTATCAATTGTCACATCCAAATAAGAAAACAGAAGCAGGAAATAATCAACAACAGACACAAGCCCCTATTGAAGAATTAGTCGGACCTACGACAACAGGAACTATTGTTGCTCAATCAGCACCTCCTGCTAACACTACACCATCTTTACCTACTGGACCACCAGAACCACGTTTTAGTTATATGGATATATCTGTTACAGGCATTACCAATATCTCTCAACATATCACCATAAATAATCAAGTATATATAAATAGATTTTAGCGTTTGAAAGATATAATTGAGATTGCAAATTTCTTACATTATATCTTTCATTTTCAGCTACCTTTGTTCCAAACGCATCCTCATTTAAAACAATTTGTTCGTCCTGCTGTTGAAAGAGCTATACAAGAATGGATTCATCCAGTTGTTGATCGATCTATTAAAATAGCTTTGACTACAAGTGAACAAATCGTAAGGAAAGACTTTGCTTTGGATCCTGAGGAAGTAAGGATGCGAACAGCAGCACGTCATATGGTTCGTAATTTAACTGCTGGAATGGCTATGATTACATGTAGAGATCAGGTAAGTATTAACTTACATGATAAAAAAATATACGATACAATCGTGTATAATATATCATTTTTTTTTTCTTTTTTATATTATATATTAGTTTTTATTTTTTTTTTCTAGATTTTAGCATCAATAAGTACAAATTTAAAGCAAGCTTTTCTAACAGCTATGATGGGTACAACTCCTCAGCAAAAAGAATTAGCAGAGCAAGCTGCAACTGTTGTAGCTGCCGATAATATGGAACTTGCTTGCGCATTTGTACAAAAGACTGCTGTTGAAAAAGCTATTCCAGAGATGGATAAACGTTTACTCAATGAAATAGAATTACGAAAAATTGCACGACAAGAAGGAAGAAGATATTGTGATCCTTTAGCTAAGTATCAAGCTGAAAGGATGCCAGAACAGATTCGATTAAAAGTAGGCGGGATAACTCCTCAACAAATGGCCGTTTATGAAGAATTTGCCAGAAATATACCTGGATTCTTACCATTATCTGAAAGAGATACACAAGCACTTTTTGTGCCAAAACCAGTAACGGTAATCTTTTAATGAAATAATGTTTTTATAATATCGTTAATATCAATTCTTATCACTTTTTTCTCTTTTTTTTTTCCTTTTGTTTTTAAGGAAACTGCAGTAGTTCCGTTTGCTACTAATCCAGCTGTTGCAGTAGCAACGGCCCAACAAGTAGCTGCATATGCAGCTGCTGTAAGTAACGATGAAGTAGGAGCAATGTTAGAAAAACTTGCAGCTGAAGTAGATGTATTGCTTTCTGCAATGGGTCCAGCTGCACCACCCCCACAACATGTAGCACTTCATAGTCTTCTAGAGTCAATCATCCTTACTAGAAGATCAAGGGATGCAGGTGCTGCAATGACGCTTCTAAAAAAAGTAAGAACGCCATAACACAAAATATTTGAAAGTAATATCTAATTAACAAAATCAATTTTGTTTACAAATATTTCAGGCTGTAGAAGGATTACTAGATGGTCCTACTATTTCTAGCGGAGTGACGGATTCGGAAATCGTCTTGCGTTATAGAGAACTTCATTTACGCATTCTGAAATGTCTTCAAGATCCACGTGCTTATGGTATGCAGTGGACGAACAAACATGTTACCCGTTTCTTAACAGAATGTAGAGAAGATTTTCGTTATAATTTCGAAGCCGTAGATTGTTTAATAAGGTATGTTTAAAAATAGAAAATGCAATAGCTACGGCATATAATTCACAGTGCAAATTTATATGAAATAATGCGAATGTTTTGATTTTAGATCTCATTTGATCAGTCTTCCACAATACGATTTAGCTCTAGCACAAGCTATGGATGCTAGTAATGCTATGGCAACTGCATTTGCTATGCAATTGGTTCAACTATATCTCATTGATGAGAGACAAACGACACATGTAACAGAATCTGATCTGTTTCATACGATTGAAATACTTGTAAGAATAGCACATCATAGAGCTCCACCAGAAGGGTAAATATTGCGTTAATATTACAAATATTATATTGTTTTTTCTTTTATATATATACATATTATGTATGTTATTCATATTTATGCTTTTATAGAATTCCACTCTTTAGACTTACTAGTCTAATAGAATCGTTACGTGCAAACCATGACCCTGCAGTATTAGCCGATCGTGCTCCTGCAGGACCGACAGCACACATCCACTCTGGAATTCTCCAGGTGAGAGTAAGTAAATTCTGCGGTATTTTAGGTCCAAAGACATTTCTTATAACGATTGTCACTTGTTTTTTTTTTTTCTTAATTACAGGCCCGTGATTTCGATGATCCACCAGGATTAATGGAGAAGACCGAATACTTATTACGTGAATGGGTTTCAATGCATCATAGTCCTACCCATGCTCGTGATCCTACTAAAGCATTTGGAATGTTTGTCCATCAAATGAACATTCATGGCATTTTAAAAACTGATGACCTCATAACTAGATTTTTTAAATTAAGCACTCAAATGTGCGTGGACCTTTGTTATCGTGCATTGGCCGAAACCAATGCAGTTCCTTCTGTTGTTCGCGCGAAATGTTTCCACTCGTTAGACGCTTTTGTGCGCTTAGTTGCGCTCTTAGTCAAACATTCTGGCGACACAACAAATACTCATACGAAAATCAACTTATTAAACAAAGTACTTGGAATAGTTGCTGGAGTGTTACTGCAAGATCACGAAATGCGTGGTACAGATTTCCAGCAATTACCTTATCATCGAATTTTCATCATGCTCTTTTTAGAGCTTTGTGCCCCTGAACCTGTTTTAGAGGCAGTCAATTATCAAGTTTTAACAGCCTTCTGTCATACGTTACACATATTGAGACCTGCCAAAGCTTCGGGCTTTTGTTATGCCTGGTTAGAGCTTGTTTCGCACAGGGTTTTCATTGGACGTATGCTCGCTATTACTCCACAACAAAAATGTTGGGGAATGTACGCTCAACTTCTCATCGATTTATTTAAATATCTAGCACCGTATCTGCGTAATGCAGAACTGGCAAAACCCGTAACGCTCCTATATAAAGGTACTCTTCGAGTGTTACTGGTATTATTACATGATTTTCCAGAGTTTCTTTGCGATTATCATTATGGATTTTGTGACGTAATTCCACCAAATTGTATACAAATGAGAAATCTCATTTTAAGCGCATTCCCGAGAAATATGCGCTTACCTGATCCGTTCACTCCAAATTTAAAAGTCGATATGCTTCAAGAAATCGCACATGCTCCTAGAGTGCTTACTAATTTTGCTTCGATGATTCAACCACTCAGTTTTAAAAAGGAATTAGATTCTTATTTGAAAGCCCGTGCTCCGGTCACCTTTTTGTCAGAATTGCGTAGTAATTTACAAGTCTCACAGGAAGCTGGTGTAAGGTATAATATTCAATTGATGAACGCTTTGGTTCTTTACGTTGGAACACAAGCTATTGCTTTTATACGCAGTAAAGGTCATACACCTAACATGTCCACGATTGCACATTCCGCTCACATGGACATATTTCAAAATCTTGCTGTTGATCTCGATACCGAAGGTCGTTACTTATTTTTAAATGCAATTGCTAATCAGCTTCGCTATCCCAATAGTCATACGCATTATTTCAGTTGTACACTTCTTTATTTATTTGCCGAAGCTAATACCGAAGCTATACAGGAACAAATTACGAGGGTTCTTCTTGAAAGACTTATTGTCAATAGACCTCATCCTTGGGGCCTTCTTATTACATTCATCGAACTCATTAAGAATCCTACATACAAATTCTGGACGCACGAGTTTGTTCATTGTGCTCCAGAAATTGAAAAGTATGTATAAATGTTTCTTTTTTATTTCATATACATATATATATATATATATATATATATATATATATATATATATATATATATATATGTATATATTTATATATAGGTGGTATTCAACTCATGGTTTCATTGCAGATTGTTCGAGTCTGTAGCTCGATCATGTATGGTTCAAAAACAAGTGCAGCCGACACCCGAACCAGAGATTCCGGAGTGATAGGATATTTTGCTTTCCATTGTCGATTTATGTACAGTAAAAAAAAAACTAACAAACAATCGTAAATAATCGCGTGTAAAAAGTTGTTGATGTACGAATAGATGTACCATACTTTGGGCTTAATATTACTCGATGGCTAGATATTGTATAACAATATATATTAAGTGTATCAATTGATCTAGAGTAAGTGAAACCTATTATTATGTTAATATTTTAATAAAAACTATCGTTGCATTAATGGAATGAAAGCAACGAATATACAGCCTCATGAAACGTGTCTTTCGAAGAATGTATATGAGAAGAAGGGGAGAGAGTGTGTCATTATACATAGTAAATGTTATAGCACAAATGTCGGTATAAAACGCATCATGTTGAGAAATACATGCAAATAATGGTGTTCAATATATTATAGCATTAAAAACTTTTTTAGATTAAATTTAATAGTATAAATTTACGTTATAAGAGCAAATATATAGTATATATTCATTCGACATTAAGATTAATATATCGTGGTATGTTAATTTAGTAAATATTTTCCAAATGTTTTATGATGCATTTGGAATTCTGTGACATAGGATGTAGTTAAAAAAAAAATACTATATATGGTGGTGTAGTTTTTTAAGGACTGTAGCCATGAAATGCAAACGGAAAAACATTAATGTATTTAATGCGCGTGTTCCTCTTTATATATATATATAATACGTTTATAAAACAAGTTTTTGATGTAGTGATTTATGAATGACACTTATTAAATAATTTATTAAACTTTCTACATACATTGTTTGTACAGAAATCGAAAGCTTACGCTTACAAGAAATTACAAAGTATGATGATCACGTGTCGCGTGATACGCATCTCTTTCCTTATCAGGGAACTTAGTTGGTAAATTTGGACTATGCAAGTGGCATTTTGCGTGAAACTTTATTCCCGCAACATCCACTTCGTAATCGCCTGACAATACATATTCATTTGTTACCTCTTGTGGCTGACCCTTTGAATCAAAGTTTTGTACAAATCCAAGACAAACCTATAGTACAAATTATCTAATCTATTAATGTATTAAAATCAATTTTAATTACATTTACATTTATTCGGTGATTAATCGAATGAGAGAAGATTTTAAAGTTACAAATTAGGAGAAAACTTGTTACCTGTTTTTTAAATGTAAAACCGTAGCCTGTAGTGGTTGTCATACCACAATATTTTCCATTTCGATATATTGGCTCACCACCCCAACACCATGTATCAAATTCAAGGTCATGATCATTTAACAATAATTGAACGTATTTACGTTTCACTCCTTCTTCACGTTGTTTTAAAAGCGCATCTCGTCCTATGAAATCAACTCCTTTCTATCGGATAAAACATATAATTGTTAGTAAAATTATAAAATATGTATATGGATAATGGAAAGATATGTCGTATTATTACTTACATCAAATTTTACTCTCCATGCGCGACCACATTCCAAAGGAGTAGTAAAAGTATCTAAATCCTGGCCCCAGAATGCATAAAATTTTTCCACTCTTAATGCTCGTGTTGCATAATAACCAGCATGCTTTATTCCATACTTTCCACCAGCTTCTATTAATCTCGTGTAAACGTGCAGTGCGAACTAAAAATATACAACAATTTATTTATATTACTACTTCTAAGTTTGGTATAAGTTCATTGTTATATTAAAACAAACAAAAATATTTCATTTACTTCGTTTGGAATATACAAGACATAGCCTAATTCTCCAGTATGTGTTAAATTCATTGTACGAATTCCATTGGCAAGCCCAACATCTAACTCCTATAAAGAATTATAAATTTCTTAAAAAATACAAAAAAAAAAAGAAAAAACAAAAAATACATTTATCAAAGATATACTTTGAATGTGAAAAATGGGAAGTTCTTAGGATTCAAATCTGTGTCAGTTAATTCACTCAATAATTGTCTTGTAGCAGGTCCCATGATACAAATTGCAGTATATGCTGATGTCACATCAGATACAGCAACAGAGCCATCAGATGGCAAATGTCTACTAATCCAGTATTTACAGCGTGTTTGTTGGATGGTTGGTGCAATCATCATATAGCTGAAATATAATAAGCAGTTTACATATATATATATATAAACTGTATAAAATATACTTACTGATTTGGTGCAATTCGTGCTAAGCTGCAATCATTTTCATAACCACCACGATAATTTTGCATTCCAGTATGGATGATACTGCCTACAGGTACATCAACGTCGTTTGAACATAAATATTGCAATAAATCTACTACCTCCATACCATTAGACTAAGAAAATTAAAAAAATAGATGTGAGTTATATTGTGTAATGATGTATTATATATTCCAATATTCTATATAATTATTGTCTTAAATATAAATATCTAATTTATAGATAATAAGTACCCATAAGTCGATTTTAGTAAAAGAAGAATAATCACTGAGCCCAATTGATTCCCGACAAGTTGCGTACTCCAAACTAACTCGTTCGAACCATGGTGGCTTGCTAAATGTATTTGTATATGCCAGTTTATAATTCTGGAATATATCAGTTGAATCTAAATCTATATTAAATATTACTGTTAGTATATTTGATTTTCATTAATGTGTAATTATGCAATTATATTGAACGTAATAAGATTACCACTTTCATTAAAGTGTTGAAACCAAGATGGTCGTTCATATCCCATTACTTGACCAAAGACAGCACCAGCTTCTCTAAGCTTTGGATAAATTGGTGACATTCTTAAATTTCTGCCAGTTTTAAATTCATGATGAGGATATTGTAATGCATAATGCATTCCAGGTACTTCTTTTACTCGGTCACGTAAAAACTTACGATTATTGTGTAAACCAAGAAAACGAGAAACATCTAATTCGTACATATCTAATGAAGTTGATCCATTAACAATTAATTCTGCAGTAGCACGGCCGACTCCACCAGCAGCTGATATACCAACCTTATTAAAAATTTTATTTAGAGGGATTTCAGAGTAAATAAAAAATGTTGAAACGTTTACTTACTGTTTTCATACCAGCGGCTACGTAATAATTACGTATTTCTGGAGCTTCTCCAACGATCCATTTACAATCTGGAGAAAACGCTTCAGGACCATTGCACAATTTTTCTAAAATTACATTTCCTAAACTTGGGATTCTATGAAGCATTTCTTCTAATAAAATATGAAAATGATCCCAATCTTCAGGCAGAAATCTGTCATCAGTACTTTCTGAAAGCAATTAATTATGATATCAATCAGAAAGATACTTGTTTACTAAATATATTTTAACAAATGATTGCATTAGATAATTGTATTTCTACAAATAATAAGCGATGATGCATAAAACAGATTTACATCTACATCTAACCAGGTATGGACCCATCTTCAAATGCTGGTTTTGCAACTGGTTCAAAACCACCTGCTAATATACAGCCATTATTTTCTCTGAAGTAAATGTAGCCATCTAAATCACGTATTACTGGTGTCATAGGATCTAAACCATTAACAGGCTTCGTATGCAAATAATAATGCTCCACCGGATGAAGAGGTACCTGGTAATATTTTGATAATATTTATATGGACAAATCTACTGAATTTTAATTATAATATAAGTAAAAACAAGTAATACAACCTTTACATATGGCTCACTTAGTTTTCCTACGTTACGTGCCCAAAATCCAGCACAATTTACAAAATGTTCACATTTTATTGTGCCATGTGTGGTTTCAACAGCTTTTATACGATTATCTTCATTAATGATTTTAGTGACTTTGCAATTTTCATAAACTCTAACACCTAATAAACAACAAGATAATAACGATATAAACAAATTCTATAAATTGTTTTTTATAATTTACAAAAAAAAAGAAATGAATACCATTGCTTTTAGCTTCTTTAATCAATGTTAAACATATTTGATATGGATCTCCTACTCCATCACCAGGAATCCATAATCCACCAATGAGATCATCTACGCGTAATAATGGACACAATTGTTTAGCTTCTTCTGGTGAAACTAAGTAACATTCGATATTTCGTGATCTGTGAAATAAGTTAGATTTATATATTAAAGTTATACTACATATAAAGTTAATTGTTGTATTATATACTAGATTCTTACACAGATTGAGCTTTCATTCGTCGAAATGCTGTCATACGGTCTCTTGTACGTGCTAAAGAAAGACTACCACATTGCTTCCAACCAGTAGAAAGACCTTTTCCTTCTAAATGTTTGTATAATGCTATACTATCCTGCGCCAACTTCACCTGTGCTAAACTTGGTTTAAAAGCACCGACTAAACCAGATGCATGCCATGTCGTACCACCTCCCAATCTTTAAGATATAACAAAAATTAAAATAATGAAATGAAAGTGCATCCATTTAATTGGAAAAAAAGGTAATGCATACAATAATATTTTTGATATTTAATTTCAAATGAAACATAATATGTACCTGCTGCTTTCTACAAGAACGGTTTCAGATCCCAATCCCATTAAAGATAAATAATAAGCGACTGAGCCTCCCATAACACCACCACCACATATAACCACTTGTGCTTCTTTTGGAGGATAATCATCTGAATTTGTAATTGTAGAGTTAGTAGATTTTGAAGTAAACCTTACTTGTTTTTGGTTAATTAAAATAACCTTCCGTTGTCTTGTCATAAATTTATTATAAACATTTTTCGAACGTAGCCACATCTTTGTCTAATATGACAGGTACGTCTTATTTTATAATTTTTATATCCTTACTTTATTTACGAGCGAGTATGTATAAAAATACATAAATCAAGTTATACTATGTTATTTCGTATGTTAATAAGAAAATATTATAATTTATGTAACACTCTGTTTTCCATTTTTTATCATAACGCAGATACATTAAATAGTGCATAAAATAATATTTATTTTGGATTAAAATAGTATATTTGTAAATATAGTCATCAAAGGATGAATTTTTATTTATATTTTTGGCACATGATCAAAATTCACCATGTCGAAGCACTACCTAATTCAAAAATTTTACTTATTTGAATTGTTGAAATCCTCGATAAAAATGCATCAATTTCAAAAATAAAAATGAAATCATTAAATATCATATTTAGTTAAAAAAAATGTTGTTTTTCTCTTTATCATATAATTATGAAGTGCACACAATAGCATTTATGTGTGTGTATGTGTGTTTATAATGTGTGTATATATAGAAAGAGAAAGAGAGAGAGAGACATTATCTTTGAATATTCTACTAGAGGCGCTATAGTTGAGAAAGTATCAGAGACCTCTGTGATGGCGGCTCTAAGTAAACACAATAGTTAATGTTAACTGTGTATCATGGTTATTATCATTAATAACATGGAGATTTAATTATTTTAGTCTGTTCAAACTTTTTGGATATAAGATTTTGCGAATGTTAATTTATTATTATACATTATTATTATAAACTAATGGAAGATTGAAAGAGGTGATATTAAAATAAATTAATTTATTTATTAGAATCTTCTATTCAAATCTAAAAAATGATAGTTAGAATACCGACTGATCTAATTTACAATTCATTTGTAAATGAATGTTAAGATTTTTAAGCTTGAAGGAGAAAGTTCTGTAAAAGGTTTTTACAAGATATGTAAAGTGGATAACATTTAGAATATAATAAATATGAAGACTGCATTAATGGTTGCAGAGAAGCCATCTTTGGCAGCTTCTCTTGCTAATATTCTTAGTAATGGTCGGTGTGCATCAACAAAAGGTAATTAGATATTTTTTTACTATAATTTTAGCTTTTATTTTTAACTTAGATAATTTATATTTATATATATTATATATTTTATAATTGTATTTATTTAGCTCTCAATGGATCATGTTCAATACATGAATGGATAGGACAATTCCGATCAGAAACAGTGAACTTCAAAATGACATCTGTTTGTGGTCATGTTATGACTTTAGACTTTATTGGCAAATATAATAATTGGGATAAAGTTGATCCTGTGTGTTTTTGATATATAATATAAATATATTAAATTGTATGCATTGGAATCATTTTATAGACAATACCAATCTTTTAGGTAGAATTATTCTCATGCCCTACAGAAAAGAAGGAAGCAGCACCAAAACTAAAAATTCCATATTTTCTCGCAAAAGAAGGTGCACATTGTGATTATTTAATATTATGGTTAGATTGTGATAAGGAAGGTGAAAATATTTGTTTTGAAGTAATCCATGCTGTTCAACAAGGATCATCTAGAAAATTAACTCCAAATGTAATCTAATGATATTTCTAATTTTTTTTTATATGTACATTGTATTCCTTAAATTAATTATATTTAAAAAATTTATAGGATATTTGGCGTGCTAGATTTTCTGCGATTACTGAGAAAGATATAAAAAATGCTTTTGTTAATCTTATTAAACCTAATGAGAATGAAGCCAAAAGCGTAGATGCACGTCAAGAGCTTGATTTGCGGATTGGTTGTGCATTTACCAGATTTCAAACAAAATTCTTTCAAGTATAACTCTTTGATACTTTTTTATCTATATATAAAAAAAAAAAATACATTATTGTATAATTTTTAAATCATTCTAGGGAAAATATGGTGACTTAGATGTGTCACTTATTTCTTATGGTCCATGCCAAACACCAACTTTGGGATTTTGTGTACAAAGGCATGATGAAATTCAGACTTTCAAGCCTGATCCGTATTGGGTCCTCCAGGTACTTATTTTTTTGTTATTAAAAATAAATAAAAATATTATGAGAATAATAATTTCTATATGAATTTAAATATTTGATAGGTTACAATCAAATCACCAGATGGACAAGATATTACATTGACTTGGAGTCGTATAAGATCTTTTGATAAAGAAGTGGCAAATATGTTTTTAAATCATGTTAAAGAGTATACGCATGCAACGTGAGTATTTTATAAATATATGACACATATATAGTATATATAGTATAAAGCACAAAATATTTCGTTATATTATATTCAGTGTAGTAAGTGTGCAAAGTACAGAAAAAACAAAACCACGTCCTATAGCTTTAAATACGATAGAATTGATGAGAGTAGCCAGCTCTGGTTTGGGAATGGGACCTCATCATGCTATGCAGATAGCAGAACGTTTATATACCCAAGGATACATTAGTTATCCCAGAACAGAAACAACATCATATCCTGATAATTTCGATTTAATGTAAGTAGGAAAAAAGGAGTATATTAGTTAATATTATATTGTTTTTAATTTTAAACTTTTTTTTTTACGTATATATAATTATATAATACAATAAATTCTCATTTTTATTTACTTAAGATTTTTATTATTCTTAGGACAGTATTAAAGCAACAACAAAATAATCCAGAATGGGGGGAACAAGTACAAAAAATATTAGAAAGAGGAATTAATACTCCAAGAAAAGGTACAGATGTTGGAGATCATCCACCTATTACTCCTATGAAACATGCTACTAGAAATGAATTAGATGGTGATGCGTGGAGATTATATGATTATATTACGCGACATTTTATTGCAACTGTGAGTAAGAATTCTATTGAAACTGTAAACAAAAAATGTGCATATTTATATATAATTATTTACATAATTAATTTCAAATATTAGGTGGCACGAGATTGTAAATATTTGAGCACGGTAATCAAATTCGAAATAGGGATGGAATTATTTACTGCAACCGGGCGTACATTACTAGATCCTGGATATACTAGTATTCTTACTTGGCAATCACTTGGAACCAATGATACGCTTCCAAAGATTTCATTTGGAGAGAAAGTTGATATTCAAGAGGTTAATTATATTATCTATTAAATTTTATTTTTATATTTTTCGTAATACTATAACAAAATTGTCTTCTTATTTACAGGCCAAATTAGTTGAATGTTACACTCAACCTCCGGATTATTTAACAGAAGCAGAATTAATATCACTTATGGAAAAGCATGGTATTGGAACAGATGCTTCTATTCCAGTACACATAAACAATATTTGTATGCGAAATTATGTTACCATTGCAGCAGGAAGAAAACTAGTACCTACTTCGTTAGGTATAGTTTTAGTTCATGGGTATCAAAAGGTACTTTCCAATGTTATCCATCATTGTATGATGAAATATATGCAATTTATTTGTTATATTTATATTTATTATAATGATTTTTGTATTTAGATAGATCCAGAATTAGTTTTACCAACTATGAGATCGGCAGTAGAAGAACAACTGAATTTAATAGCACAGGGTCGTGCAGATTTTCATGCTGTTTTACAACATACAGTGGAAATTTTTAGACAAAAGTTTCATTATTTTGTAGAAAGTATAGAAGCCATGGATCAGTTGTTTGAAGTATCCTTTTCTCCACTTTCAGCTTCTGGTAAAGCACATTCAAGGTACAAAGTAAATTTTTTTTTGTTCAATTTAACTTTGGAAATTTGTTATATTATATTAAATCATACAGGTGTGGTAAATGTCGACGTTATATGAAGTATATACAAACCAAACCTTCAAGAATGCATTGCGCACACTGTAATGAAACGTATAATCTACCTCAAAATGGAAATATTCGTATTTATAAAGAATTAAAGTGTCCACTAGATGACTTTGAATTATTATCTTGGTCAACTGGAGCAAGAGGCAAGAGTTATACATTTTGTCCATATTGCTATAATAATCCACCTTTTAGGTAAATATATACAAAGTATAAATTTTAATTTATACACAATATAGTGTGTAATAATAATATAAATGTTATATTTGAAATTTTTAGAGATATGAAGAAAGGAATGAGTGGTTGTAATTTATGTACACATCCAACATGTCCCCATGGTTTAAATTCTAATGGAGTATCCAGTTGTTTAGAATGTGATACAGGAATTCTTGTTTTGGATCCTTCAGCAGCACCTAAATGGAAAGTTGGGTGCAATCGTTGTGATGTTATTATTCATTTGTTTGAAAATGCTCACAAAATAACAGTAGATTCTGATGTATGTGATTGTGGGGCACAGTTGATAAATGTTGAATATAAACAGGTGATAATTAATAATCTGTTCTTTACATTATAACATTTTCCATGTCGCTGATATAATTTTTCAATTTTAGGATAAAAGTAAATTACCTGATGAAGCAACTGAAACATCTGGGTGTATTTTCTGTACCCCGGCATTTAGAGCGCTTGTTGAAAAACATAGAGCAGTAGCATCAAAACCAGTTGCAACTCGTGGACGTGGACATGCCAAAGGCCGTAGTCGTGGCAAACCACGTCCTCCAAAGGATAAAATGGCTCAACTTGCAGCGTATTTTGTTTAATAAAGTTCGAAAATAATGTCAATGTATGTACACACATTATGGACTCCTTCCATATTGAATGAATACATGTAAATGAATACATGCCAAAATTCTGTATATGTATTGCAGAATAAGTGATTAAGTTTTCAAGTAATTTTTGTGAACAATCAGTTTTTGGAAAAATTATTAAATAAAGCCAAAAAAAAATTTTATGCAAATTTAAATAATATAAATATAATCTAAGATAAGTACACCTATAATAAGTATAACCGTATATTAATATTTATTTCAATAAAAAATAATTATATCTTTATAAACATGACAAAAAACTAAAATTTATCAATTTTATAGAAAAATTAGAGATGTTTGAAGTATAAAGTTGTATAAATATATATATATCTACTCAACGACACACTCATTGGTGTCGGAAACCAATAGTGTATGGATACAATTGAAATGGAGGGGAGAAGGTATTACTTTACTACGGAAGTCAAAGTTAGTAGGTTGTGTCATTTCGTTGTGTTTACGCGTGTAAGTAAAGTTACTGAGTTTAAATAAATTGTATCTTTAAGACAGTCGTCATGAAACTAGATTTAGATACGTTGGATCCTTTTGAAATTGTTGTGGGTACTTACGAGCAGTATTTACTCGGTTATAAAGTATCTAATATCGTAAATGTAAGTAATGAACTTTTTCAAAAACATTTATAGGTTATGGATGCTGTTATTAAAACCGGTTAACCGGAATGTTTTGAAATCATATTTTATTTATATTAATATAATTTTGTTATTGAGATATATGTGAAATAGTATGTATAATCTTTTATTTAAATACAGTAGAAACACAGTACTTTGTATATTTCATACTTTAATATAATTATATTTTGTTGGTTATGTTTTTAAAATATTTTTTTATAGGAATATAAACTTGAGAAAAGTTTTGTCACACATAGCCATCTGGCCAGTATAAGAAGTGTTGCTAGCAATAAATATTATTTAGCATCTGCTGGTGCAGATGACTCAATCTATTTGTATGATTTACGTAATAGAATAGAATCTGGCAGATTAATGCATCATAATGGTAAATAATTATATTTAATAGTATTATCTATATTTTTAAACCTATGTTTTATCAAATTTTTTATTATTCTTTGTAGATACTGTTAACCATATAACTTTTACACCAGAAGCGTCACATTTATTTTCATGTAGTAATGATGGGACAATAGCTGCCATTGGATGTGGAAATTGGCAAATTGAAAAACATTGGCAAAAGCCACATAAAGGTTTATCTGTTCATACTGTAGCTATACATCCGACAGGGAAATTAGCTTTATCTACAGGAGCTGATGGTATTCTTAGAACATGGAACTTAGTTAAAGGACGACAGGCATATGCTACGAATTTGGTACCGCGTTTAAAACTGGATGCTAAAAACATTACAGTCTTAAAGTGGAGTCCAAATGGAGAAAAATACCTTTTGGCAGTAAATCAAAAAATTGATATATATTCGGTAGAATTGGCAGGCATTGATGATGAAGTACAGTTTGATTCCAAAATCGTGTGTGTAGAATTTTTAAGAGATGACTTGATTGCTGTTGGGTTAGAAAATGGTCAAATTAAATTTTATGATCTTGATAAATCTGTGCATACATTAAATACATTGGCACATGATATTAGAATTAAATGTATGGCACACAAAGATGATTTATTGGTAACAGCATCCAGTTCTGGTGAAATTAAACTTTGGAGGTTTACTAAGCATAAAATAGATATGTTGCAGAGTATTAATTGTGGTGCTAGAATTACTTGTCTTACGCTTGCAATGCCATATAATAATATAATTTATAAAAAAGAAATTCAATCAAAGATTGAACAGAAAGTAAAAAGCAAAAATATGTTCCGACTGCAACAGGAAGTTATTGTGGAAGAAAATTGTGATGATGATTGGGAAGTGACATCTGTTGATAATTGTGATATAAAATCAATTGCTAAATCAAAAAGTAATTCAAGAAGAGCAGAATGGATAGAAGAAGATAATAATCCTCCAGGCAAGAAAGTAAAATTAAATACAGACAAACAATGTAGTAAAAATAATATGTGGAATAAAAGAAGTATTGAATCTGTAGAAAAAGACACTTCTCCTTCACCAAAGAAGAAAAGCTTAATCGAAGATAGGAATAATAATAAGAAGAAAAAGAAAAATTTACACATTGAGAAAAGAAAAAAAGATGAGATAGTGCAAGATATTACTCAGATATCTTCCAAAAAAATAAAAAAAACTGTAAAGAAAAATACGGAATCTGGTAATAATATTCAGAAGAAAAGAAAAATAGAATTAGTTAAAGTAGAAGAAAGTAATAACAAACTTAATAAAAAAATGAAAACGATAAAAGAGGGACAACATTCTATAATGTCAAATAAAAAGAAAAAGACAACAGTAACTTGAAAAAGTAGTTATTTTTTGAATGATATTTACAGTTGGTAAAATGAGGTTCAGAATACACAAAATGTAAGAGTAATAATAAATTATTCACTAGCTCCTATCAGTCTATATAAATATAAATCTTAAATTAAATATGACAGTTTTATGCTTTTTTCATACATTCTGTCACAATTGTACAAATATATTTTGGATTGAGTCAAATAGCAAACATTTACCACAAGATGCATTTATGTTCTGGATTCATACGACTATTAGTTGAACATTTCCAAGCTTTTGCAAATTCTGCATTATTCGACAATGTTCCAATTACTCTATAATGATTTGGTGCATGGACACCTTCTATAAGTTTAGATTTTAATGCTCCATTTGTATAATTTCCACACCAAACCTGGAGAAAGTTATGTTATTAATTTTAATAACTTAAGAAACATGTTCTGTGTATATTAATAATTTAGTAAATAACGATCTATGCTATTTTAGAAAGAATGATTAGTTCAGTAGCTACATTTTCTTTCATAAATAATTGGAAATAAATATGTATTTAAAAAGGTTGTTGACCGTTATAAAATAAAATTAATTGCAATGAAATATTTACTTGTGCAAAGCCTAAGAAGAACAATTGTTCGTGGGTATATTCTGAAAGGCCAGGTAAAACTCGTTGATGCGAATTACGAGCTTGCAATCTTTGATAGGCTCTATAAGCCTCTCGTATTCCACCATTATCAGCAATATTTTCACCCTGAGTTGTAATGCCATTTACCTGAAAAATCATTAGTAATTCTTTGTCTTTGCAAATTAGCCAATATACCTTGGCACATTTTGGTATATTTTCAACGAGAATATTACTCACTGTAAAATTGTTACCCAGCTCAGGAAGATGATAACTACTGTACTGTTTGATGATACATTCGACTTTCTCATGGTAATGTTGCAATGTTTCGTCGCTCCACCATTGCCTGAGATTGCCGTTTTCATCGTATCTGCGACCTGACATAAAAAAAAAATCGTGTAATTTTTTTCGTTATTATAAATCAATGTATAATTACTATGAATCAATGTATTTGGGACATTATACCTTGATCATCAAACCCATGAGTAAGTTCATGACCCATAATCGCACCCATTGCACCATAGTTGATTGATCTATATAAAAATGTTCATTATTTTCAATATTGCAAATGGTTTTTTTCTTTTTTTTAACAAAATTATGTTTTTAGTATTTCCGAAAATACAGAAAATAGATGTAATTATACCAAGCTTACTCTATTCCATTTCCATAGAATGGTGGATGTAAAATACCCGCTGGAAAAGCTGAAAATGGCAAAAAAGGTATTACATTAAATTAATTATTAATTATTAATTATTAACTATTGATGTAATGATATATACTTACTGACTGAATTTAAAATAGCGCTGTAAAATGCATTAACAGTAGTTCCAGTGGATATCCATCGATTTTTATCCGGTTTTTCTCGCAAATTATTTAAATTTTTCTTAACGCCTACATCCGTCAGTTTCAGAAAAGTTTCAAACAATTTTCCTTCTATTACTTCTGCCTGCAATAGAAATTGTTCAATAGATTCAAATGTTTTTTTTTTATTTTAAAATAATACCAACTTACACCTTCATAAAATTTATTTAATTTCTCTGGATTAGTAATCCACTCTGGAAAGCCGACAAATGGTCTCATTGCGTATAATTTTCTATGTGCGCGTAGTCTAGTATCTGCATCCATCCAATCTAATTCTTTAACCATTGTATCAAATGCTGCCCTAATGTCCATTAACATTTCTAAAGCCTAAAATTATCCTCTTTTGTATATTTTACATATTTCAATTTTATAATTTCATAACAAAAAGTTGACGAGTTTTAACATAAACTTTGAAGAGATCTAAGAAGATAAATCTCAAACATATAGATCACTGACCTTTTCCCTTTCCTGTTCATTGAAATGTTTTTGAGCGTAGACGTAACTTAGAGCCATGCCAAAGTTAGCATTAACATTTCCTGTACAACCTTTCCATCTTGGCGTTTTTTCTTTAAGACCAAAAACTTTTTGAGAAAATTGAAAGCCAAGATCACGAAACTTTTGCAGTGTAAGCGGCGTAATCGCTGAATATACGCTCCACCAGATAAAACGTGCTAAAAGAATTCAGTAATAGTATTAATTAGGAACTTTTTCCAAAGATCGGATAGTTTTAGCCAAAGTGAGCGAATAATTGAAAACAATGTCACTAAGTGCCATGAGTAACGCGGTTGTACGATAACCTTTTGCTCTCTCTGGCCTCATTAGATTATGGGGATACGTTCTTTTAGTTATTCGATTTTTCATCCTTTTTTTTTTTTTAAATGATAACAAATAAACGTTAGTAAACTATTGTTCGCATTTGAAACAACAGTCCTTTTTAAGTTGAACAATGAAACATCATTAACTCCCTTTCTAAATACTCATTGAAAAATATTTGACCTATATATAATATATGATATACATATGTATGTGTTGAATATTAGAGTACGTATAACGAACGAATATTAAAGTGTTGAGACAACCACGCGCAGCTAGTTCAACAATGATGAAGAAGATAAGTATACCTATCGTAGCAGGCGGCGTAATAGCAAGTAGTTGGGGCAATTTCTGTAAATAGTGTAGATCCATTACAATAATTCTTTCACTCTCTGTATTTACGGTCACATTTGTATTTTCAAATATACCATCCAGATATCTCGTCCAGTTCCACTAAAAAAATATATTTTCGTTTGGATATATTCATTATATATGTAATGGATATATTACTTGTTGTACACGTAGATCAGTCAGTTGTTGTAACTCATCAATAGTAACATCATGAAATAAGTGATGTACGCTACGTCTTTCCTCTGGTGTATCCATGATCTATTCAAGGATAAAGAATCGATATAAGATTTAATCTTTCAAGACATTAAATGGATCATTTCAGGATAACACATTCTACCTTTGCAATTTTCGTACTAAATTCTAAAATTTCATCTGCAAAACTTGTACTTCTGTTTCCAGCCCCAGCAAATTCCATCATAGCTTTTATATATTTTTTATATTCACCTAATTCTGACTGAAAACGTTGAGGATCGAGGAGATATCGTTCGCTAAAAGCTGGAGATACTTGCTCCGTCTACCAAATAATAATCATCAAATAATATAACCAAGTTATTTTGGGAAACAGTTGGCAAGTTTAAAAATATAATCTTACCATTATTCTGTTTCTCGTTGTGTCTCGTATATCCTCGCTAATATACAAATTAACCAAAAGATTCAAGCCTAATATTCTTCGGATTGTACCAGCAATTCGAGATAAATCAAGAGGAGGAACTTTGACTTGTAAAGGTGGATCCGTCGGTAATCCTATCTTTTTGAATACTTCGAATATCGGTTGTAATCCCAACGTTTCGATGCTCGCTAAAAATAATATACTTGAATATACGAATCAATATATTTTTTTTAAAAAGTATATGTTTATTTATATACAAAGATGTATAAGACAAGTTCCGGTTATGTTTTTATCAATAGTTTCTAACGTTATCACCATACCTGATCTCATAAACAGCGTTACGTGATATATCATAAATACATGATAAGCGTTTAGAAAATTACTCTCATATCATTAACATACAAAATAAATGCGGATGTTTAATAACATAAACGTGACTATGAATAATGCAACAATATAATTCATCATCTTTGATATCTTATAGATTCGTGATTGGACATTTGATCTTACCCGTATCCATGCAAGTTCTGTAAAGAGACCTTGCTAACTTAACAGGTCTTAGATCATCCTTTTTATCAGACATTTCTAATAAAATTCTTAAATCTTGGAGGAGATATTCTCTAAGGAGACTCAATTGATCCCAGGATACTTGACTCTGAGGTATCGGATGCTTTGCGACCCAGCCATCGCAAGCGAATCTATAAAAATCGTCGCAAGGATCTACGGATTTATTCATTGCTTCTAATACTCTCGCGGCTGAAACGAGAAGATTATTTTCTAATGATAAAACAAATAAGATTTCCAATGCGGAAGTATTGGTCGAAATCATGTTATCATCTTATTTAATATTTGAAAGGTTCAACGAACGTTAGAACATAGAAGATAATGATGAATCGGGGTCGAGATGTGTTATCTTCTAATTCGTAAGACGAGAAAATAGCTTAGAAGCAAAATTTTTTGGAATTGTAATATATTATTGATCGATAGATTAATAGATAACGATGACAAAAAACAAATGTAAAGGAAATATTATTTTAATCGATACCTGTTTTTATGCATTCTTCGCTCTGACACATTTCTTTGTATTCTTCCTTATAAAATACAATCATTTGCAAAGTTAAGGTAACAACAAGAGTAATCACAGTTATCGTTAATAAAACAACGATTATCACGAGCCTTGTTTCCTTTCTGCTCGATTTTTCGTCTCCGTGATTACATTGCCTGTGTCAAAAGTTTACAAGATATTAACAAAATATATGAATATATATATATATATACATATATTGTTGAGACTATAAGATAAAAATGTTTTTCAAATATTTATTCGATTCAAAGAAAAAAAAATTTTAATAATAATCACCATGGGAGTTCTGAATTTTTATTATTGCCATCGTCCACTCCCCTTCCACTGTTTTCAGGGTCATTCACCTATAAAAAAAAAGAAAAAAAAAAATAAAATAGTTATGATTCAAATCGAGAGTATAACTAGCAATTGACATTAAATCGACAATAGACCAATTGACCTTTTAATAAATACGTCGATTTAATCTATTATTAATTAGTATTTATGAATCAATGACAGACAGATCTAACAAACGAAGAGGCATTATTTATATAATTAAAACAAAAAAAAAGAAGAAAATACAAAAAAATAGAACTAATACGAGATCTTAAAAAATAATTCCATCGTATAAAAATCGTATGCGTTATTTTGATCTCGTTCAGTCATTCGAAGCGTTTCGTCCTTGTATCTTCCTCATTGTATACTTTTTTTTTTCTATAGGATTAATGATAAAAAAAAACCTAATCGGTTTACCTAATCGAACTTAGTTTAGTGTTAACCATCGTCACGAGAACATACGATCGAAGGTCTCACCTTGCTCTAGAATCAATGGAATTACCTCGGCATTACGCGCCTCCTCTCTTTACATCCTGCTGTAATCTATAATAATCCTCCTCTTATTAAAGTCCATCCAAATGAACAGTATATTCTCTCCTTTCCCCTCTCCCCTCTGTCAGGGAAATCATTGAAATATAGTTGCGTAAGGGTGCTTCGAAACAATATATAATTTCAAGAAAATAGCTTCCTACTATAAACGAATATTACTTGTGCATACATACATATGAATATATATATTCGTACATATGTATATACACGATATCCATCGAAAGAACAAGAAGTCGCACTTGAGATCTATCGATTATAATATTTATTTATATCGTCAAAAGTCATTGTTCGATTGATATGATTTTTAATTAATCCTTAACTACGGTAATTAATCGATTCATTTAGCTCCAATCGTGTGTATAGAAGAGACGTGCCGAACGATAACGCCTATCTTCCTCTCTCACTGAGTCTACTCTATTTATACGAATATACGACGATAGTATTCTTATTATAGATCTTCAACTTTTTAAATCGAAGTACGAACTGTATACAATATATTTTAATTGAGCAAGTTTTATGATTTTTTTTTTTTTTTTTTTTTTATCAGCCATACGAGATTCGTTTATTTTGATTTTTTCTTTTACAGCGCAAAAAGTTTGCGATTAAATCGATCGATGGCGATCTATCGTCTTTGTCAAACAATTATTATAATTAATAATTATTGTTAGAGGCAAAGCGATACTAATGCACATATTCGAAGAGACATTCATTATTGGTGTCAAGTGCTCGATTTCCTATTAGTTTTAATCTCTCAGACTATATCCTATTTAAGGTGATATCTATACGCTCCATTTATCTTCTAAGAGATCGTTGATTTCACTTCGATCATGACGAAACATAAAATAGACATTGAAATAAATACTCATTGCTATCGATCTTAATATACATTTTCGTTAATTGCAAGTCATTTATAGAATAAACGACGAGTCATATACATGACCTTCGTTTTAAAATAACACATGTAACATCATATGTACCTATTACGTATTTGTTATATTATAACAAATATGTACCTATTTACTTCGAATAATACATAAAAGAAAAAAAAACATCGTTTTAGAAATGCTGCGAATTTTCATTCATAATTCATTAACATTTAAAAAGTCGAACATTAACAATGACACGCGTATCAATAGATCATTTTTCGTCCATATACATATATCGAGGAACAAACAACTTCCTACAAGGATCCTCGCATCCATTGATCTTTTATTTCATTGTACGCTCATATTGGAATTTCAAAGTGATCAAAGAAGGCAATCGTATTCGAACATTTAAGTATACGTCTTATGTTTTATGCAGGTGTAGCAACATATCGTATCCACAAAACGAGGTAGAGAGGGGAAATGTGTCGTCTCCAGGGACAGTTGATATTAAAGAAAATAATGATTCTAAGATTCACGATTGCGGCAGGAAAAGGAAAAAAAAGATATATTAAAAAGAAAAAAGAAAAAAAAATGAAAAGAAGAAGAAAAGCAAGGACTAGGTCTAACCTTGTATCTCATCTTTCGTTCCTCTTCAACCTTATCCCCGTCGTCGTCGTCAACTTCGCGGTTTCGTCCTATCGCTTCGTAACTCTGAAACAAAGAACAATGCCGAGAGTTAAGTTATTAAGAAAAAATGCGTCGTTCGATGACGACGATGATCGTCCTGCTTCTTTGCATAGAATGAAAGAGGTACGCAACGTGTCGCAGACATCGAACGATATCATTTCTCCTTCGCCCAGTTTCTTTAATTATTTCGATTTGTACAACTATGATATAGCCTACACATTTGCACATTTTTCATTAATCATTCATCTCTATCAATCTTTTAAAAGTTAGAGGTATACAAAGATCGTGTTATATATCCGCATATAAAATGATCTTTATTAAAACTCTCAAAGAACATTGTGCTTAAAGTGTTATTTATTTTTAGTTAAAACAAATTGTAAAAAAAGGAACTTTCTCTATCAAGGGCAAATAAATCCTGATGTTCTTTCGCAGATATCATTTAATTAACATACGATAATTGAAATTTTACATACGTTTTGAAATCAATGCACTATCGGCATTGGCATTGACAAAGATATACGAATGTTTATCGCGTGTCTATAACATAATTGTTTTTATGTAATCTATAATTGCTTATATGTTTTTCCGAAGAAGACAAACGCGTCAATGGATGATCACTGAAACCGGTCTGACATCGTGTCGGATAAATGTGCATATATATCTATATATCGTGCATTGTATAATATCCGATAGTACCAGCACGTAACGAAGATAGATCAATTTACGCTATTACATCGGCACGTAAGCTCATTTTCTAGACTTTTTTTCTTTCTTTTTCTTTTTTCTTTTCTTTTTTTTTCTTTTTTTTCATTTTTTTTTCTTTCTTTTTTTTTCTTTTTTTTTTTTTTTATCAAACTCGGTTTAACGTTGCTTCGAGAGTTTTTTTCTATTAGGTGTAACTTTTCTTGTCATTGTATGATTACGAAAAGCTCAGCACGACTCTTTGTCTCGTCTTCAATATCAGCTAATTAGGAGTTGAAGAGAAAATTCAAAACGATTAAAACGAAAAACAACAAGAATAGAAACGCTTCGTTTTCTTGAAAAGATAATCAAGATTTTCACTGGAAATAATTAGCGCAAAGAAAGTTGTTTATCTCGTTTGTATCATACGATTAGAATAAATAATTGAAAACGAAAAAAACAAGAGGTATATCTCAAAACAATTACAAATATAAATAAAATATAATAGAATATAAATATATTAAACATAGGAAGAAAATATATGTATAATATTTAAATGATATGTTATTTCTCGTTATCTACTTTGTACTTTGCGTTATCAATCACAATTTAAAATATTTTGATTATCAAATTATATTTATGCTTAATAGCATTCAAAAAAGAAATATTAGATTAAATGATTAAGAGAGCACGAAGGCGCTATGTTTTTTTCCGAGTCGCAAAACTTTCGTTTCACGAGATTCTCATTTCATTCCCGCGCAAATGTTTTCTATTATATTAAGAATCGCTTTAATACGTATCTCGAAACGCGTAAAAATATGTAACTTTATATTTAGAAGAACTCGAGGTTTTTGATCTCGACTACGTCAGCTCGGAGATTATAACGAAAGTAAGATATAAATTAAATATTAACCACGTGTATGCAAAGCCGGCACGTGCCATTAAAATCTATTACGTTTTAGCATCTATTGCCTTGATCTTTGAACATTTAAGGAATATACGGAATAATATATAAAGCAAAAATCGAACGAAACGAATCGTTTGCCATAAAAATTTTTTCTTTTATTCTAATCATTAATTGAAAACACACACTATAAAAAACACTGAAAAGTCGATGGACTCACCTGATATTTATTTCTTTAAATATATATATACATATATATATATACATACATATATATATATATACATATATATATATGTATATATATACACTTGCTTAGAAAGACATGAAATATATTATAATAGGAGTTTTTTTCTAAGAATCCTATGAATATATTTCTTTGTTTAGGAAGACGCGTAGACTCGCTCCGTGCACGATCGAAATCAAAATATAAAGTCACGAGGAAAAAGGCAAAGATTATGAGAGAACGACGAGCATGCGCGCGTACGAAAAAATATTTCTCCTCCGTCAGTTTAATTCGAGCTCGCGACTCTTCCCGTCATAGTACTATTTCATTCGATATTCGTTTGAAGATTCTCACGTTTGCTTTTTACCGCCTACGAGATCGCTCGTCGCTTCGAAGAATGTACGCTGCGGGACAGGCGATAAACCAAACTGAAGTTTCGGCTCGAGAAGAAGCGAGTCTAATCATCCTATTCCCCCACTTAACTGTCTAAGATAGTGTTAAGATCCTCGCTCTGATCGAAGCTAACTTTATTCGAAGAAAACTAGTACAGATAGTCGTTTCTTCTTGTTATTTAAGTATATTTCCTGCTTAATTATTTTCCTGTTTACTTTTCTTCTTCGTTCCATTTTAACGAGTACATTTGATTCGTTAAATAATACAATCATCCTTATCGTCTATTTTTTAACAACATCATATTATTCAAGATAAGTTTATATATTTTATTAAAATGTCGTATTGTTCTTAACGCGTTTGAAATATATTATCGTCAAAAAGTAACGTATAAAATTAGTTAATAAAGGCAGTAGGTTCCAAATGTTACGATTTGATTGGCCGTATACATTCGACAATTTTCTTTAATCTTAGGAGCGTAGGCCGTTAACACGTGCATCCTCATTTTGGCAACTCCTTTGTGATAGTAAAACTCTTCGTTATTACTTAACTCGTTTCTGACTCAGGATAAATAAACTTATCGTTAGAATTTTTATCAGAACGCATAGGTCAAAAAGAAAATGACGAGTCATGCGAAGAGGAAATACATTGTCTCGATATACAAAAATTTTAATCAAATGGAACAGTGTGATTTATAATAGCCTGATAACACACTTTATTAAAAAATATCAAATAGTCGAGGCCAGGTACACCCTATTCCAATGATCGTGTTAAGCGTTAAGGACATTTCCGGAAAGGCTTCCCCTTCTCAAAACGATTTCGCAATATCGCTATGAACACAAATGTTCGACAAAAATAGCCGACGTTTCTTTCCTCGTAGGAATATAGAATATTTCATATCGATGCTATGAAATAAAAAAAAATTATCGTAAAGAAAAGAAAACAATTCCTTTATAACATTATCGTAACAAAATCTATTAAACTGGATTGTTATTTATAAAAAACAAAAATAAGTCATCAAAATTAATTGGAATTACAATTAAGCATCTATACTTATACAATTAAAAGAATCTTCTATGAGTTCTTGTGGTATCCATTCTTCAGCCGGAGATTGATGTAATACAACAATAGCATGATTTTCTACTTCCTTCAAAACACGTAACAAATTTCCACCGACTAATTTCTTTATATCCGAAGCGGACCACAGTCTATCCCTTGTTAATTCTGCCAATAATAATGGATATCCGGAAACGTCTGGAAGTTCTGTAGGTGGACTGAAAGAAGCAACGACAAATGTATCAATGTGCTCTAATTAGTCGAAAATATTACCGAAACAAATATTCATTAAACGTTTCGTAAACCTTAGGATTCCATCGTAACCGGCTCCTAGGCCAACGTGATTAACGCCAGCTATTCGGCGTATATAATTTATGTGAGCTAAAAGGAAAAAATATTAGTAAAGTAAGAAATTAGTTCATTACTAATAAATTAACTATTGCATAATAAATAATTATCTAACCTATAACGTCGTGCATGGAAGCCTTATCTCCACAGCTAAGGTATGCACTGTCGAAACTAACCATGACCAATCCACCATTAACGGACTTGAAACATTAATAGAGTTAATAATAAAATATAAAGTCGGGTTTATTGGCGAAATAATTAATTATCAGCTAATTAACGATATTAAACAAATACCTATAGCCAATAGTTACCAAATTTCGAAGTACGTCGTCTGGTACATTGCTAGATGAATTGCAAAGAGATCTGGCAGCGCTATGCGAAAATATAACAGGTGCCTTTGTTATAGATAATGCATCTTTCATAGTCCTGATCGAAGCGTGAGAAAGATCAACGAGCATTCCTAATCGATTTAATTCCCTGACAACAGCTTTTCCAAAACTCGAAAGCCCATCACTCTGAAAATCTGCAGGAGCTACTCTATCTGGATCTTCGACGGAACAAGAGTCTGCCCTAGTATCGGTAAAAAAGAAATTTTTAATTTATTAATTTCCTGACGATTACGTGATCCTTTTTTCCATGGCGTAAACTTACCAGGGTGTATTACATTTGTGTGTCAAGGTCATATAACGTGCACCAAGACGATAGAAACTCCTAAGTACCGCCATAGAAGTACCAATACTGTGACCTCCCTCGATCCCTACTAAACTAGCGATAACCCCGTCCTTGTGAGCCTTTTCGAGTTCGCCACTCGTCGTTACCAGTCTTATTTTCGTCGAATATTTCGAAGTGAGTCTTCGAACGACATCAATTTGTTCGAGAGTAAGTTGCACTGCATCTAGAAATTGAGCCTCGCAAGGGACGTATGCTGACCAAAATTGTGCGCCTACGATACCTTGACGTAAACGTACAAGATCGGTTTGCCATTGAGGGCCCCAAGTAGAGTTTCTTGAGACGTCTTCGTCGAACGGAAAATCTTGCAGTTTCGTATTTCCTCGATGTTTTCGTAAGTTCCAAGCGAAGTCGTTGTGACTAAAGAAAATATGTAATTGTCAACTCATCCCAACTTTTTTTTTTTTTTGCATACCCATCGATCAATGGAACTTCTGAAAGCATTCTCCGAACGACCTGCAATCTCGCTTCTAGAAGATGAGAACTCCGAAGTTCCAATCCCAATGGTAATCCTACGGCGACGACTAAGGCGCATCCGAAAAAAAAGATTCCTACCGTAATTATCCATCGTCTCATGCTACGTCCTGTCGAGGAAACAAAAAAATGTTAAACGTAAAAGATAACTGTAACTTTCGAAATATGTTGAAAATCATTCTTCGTCGATAGCTTCCCATAGGAAAAAGGTAATCAAGCGCGTAACATTATTCTTACATGAAATTACCATAACGGTGACTCGAAGATTCCTTTCATCTTTCGTTACTTTCAGCTGAATTTCCTCGTCAGCATTGTTTTCGCAATTGAGTAATTCGTCGAACCGTAAATAGAAATCATATCAAATCAAGATATTCTTTCTTAACCGTTACGCCAGTTTTTCGCGGATTTTTTTACAGCGACAATCCGCTAAATGAAAATCTTACTGGCGGGCTTAATACAAAGCAATGTGCTATGTCGTGCAAATCAAAACTCAGTGATGTGCAAAATAAGTAAAAAGATTGCTCAAACTGATTGATAATATTCATTACCAAGACTTACCATTTTCTCTCGAAGCATCTTTATTTTTATCTAATGAAGTCGAAACATTTTGCTCCTTAACGTGATGTAAAGCATCGCCATTCGGTAATTTTCTCATAAGTTCTGGAGAAGAAAGTTGTAAGCAAGTCTAAAAAAAAATACAAAAATAATAGATCCTTTTTAATAACATCCTAAAATTTTATGAAAATTCATCTATGATTATCATTCGCTTTTAACGAAAGAATTATAGTACAATTTCTATAGTACATACATATTATAAGAGTCAAACATTATTATTGTATAAAATTGAAAAGCAAAAATGATAATGATAATACGATGATAGTAATCGACCGGCATAGGAAGACTATTGAATAGCATAACCAATATCTGTTTATTTGCTCTACCTCTAATATATCAACGTCCTTTCGAGTTGGTGGCGGTGAACGATATAACATTCCATCCTTACTGAGTCCATATAGCTCGAACATCTTTTTCTTAATTTATTATTTCTGATAAAATTCACTGGCTACTGTAGTAAACATCAACGGGTGCGTTAGGATGTAATACGGACGAACGCATGCGCCAACTTTTATATCGACCCGGGCTAGAAAACCTTTCAAAACGAAAATCATATGAATCGTTTGCAATTTCATCGTATCTTATATATATAATGGAAATCATACTGTATAAACATTATTTGTCGTTTATATCGTTGTGCCTATGTATACGTACAAGACAATGTACATAAAAATGATAGAAAATCGTTAAGTATAAATAATGAAAGATATTAGAAAAAAAAATTAATGATTATTTAAAAGATGAAAATGAAAGCATTAAAGATAAATCATGAATAACTTAAATAAGTATATAACGAGAAAAGGAAAGTGAAATGAAATTGAAAAAAGGCGCGGAAAGTGAATGAAACAATTGAACTTCCGATATGCGCGGAAGTAACTGCGCGTAAAAGTACTTCTCGGTGCCGCCGCGACGCCATATTGTTTGCGGTGTAAGTGCACGTCGTTCAACGGTTTGCTCCTTGTCGGTCGTTTTTTTCTTCCTTCGTTTGGTGAGCCCCGTCGGGATTTCTTACGAAAATTTCGCGCAAAAGCAACATGAAAAAAACCAAGGATGTGTCGGACGAGGACGAATATTCAGCGGACGATCCAGAAGAAGTAGAAGGAGCTTCGGAGGAAGAGTGGACTCCAGAGGCAGGAGCTGAGGTAAACCCACGCTACCGGAAACTTTTTCATCTTTTACGACTTATATCTATTACTTTACGCCTTGACTTATTCTATTTATTTTACTTTATATCACTTCTTAGTCGATGCAACAATGTTATCGATTAAAAAATAATAATCGACTCTTCCTCATTTGCGATCGAACAATCGTCACAAACGGTCGAGAATTTCTTAATAAATTGTGAGAATCCTCCTAAGAAACATCACTCGAAGAAATCATTATCTTTCTTTCTAATTGTTCGAGATCAAAGATTATCATTTTTTTGTATAATAAATATTCAATCATCGAGCTTTGTAAAAAGCTATTGCTTTTATAAGCATTCGATATGAACAGAAAAACACTTGGATGAAAGTTTTAGGTACACGTTAGAAACGTATCAAAATCTCATAACTCATGCTGTATTTAAATGAAACTTTTTAATCGAGTGAATGTGCTGTGATAATTCTTGAAAATTTATTACTATTATTCAAATATAAACTCGATCGATTTTTATAATGTGCTAGAAAGGTGTTGCTAGATCGTATTCTTCTAAGTTAAATCGTTTGTTTTCTATATTTTGACTATGTTTGTGCGGCCATCATTGCCGGCCGGTCAGTGGCGCCGGCAGTAAATTTTTTAAACGCGCGAATCTAATGTCGACCTTTATCACGATAAGTATATTGATATTTCGATCAAATTTTTATTAATATTAATATTTACTTCCTAACTATATATGATTTATAATTTTTTATACCAAAAAATTATCAATCTTGACAGAATATTTTATAATATTTATATTCCTTTTTAGAGTGCTACAAAAAAAAGACCACAAAGAGAAGCTGCTAAAAAAAGACAACATTCGGAAGAGGAAGAAGAAGATGAGGAAGAGGAGGATGAGGAAGAAGACGACGAGGAAGACGACGAATCCGATTCAGATGCAGAAAAAAAACCCAAAAGGAAAAGACGTTCTAAGAAAGAAGAGGATGATAAAGAAGAAGATGAAGAAGAAGATTCTGATGATAATAGTTTCAATGAATCATCAGGGGAAACGCCAAAAGATTACACAGTATGTTAAAATTTATTATAATATGTTAGACGCAGAATGTAATATTAAAATTATGTCAAGTAATTATAATATATAATTATAGTCTGGAGCATTTGTCGTTGCAAAAGCTGATATCGGAGGAAATAAAGATCCAACTTTGTGGAGGATAGATGGGAAAGCATTACTTCAAAAATTCTTACCTTTTAAAGAAGATGGAAAAACATTGTACAAAAGTACCTCCACGGTATGTATATATATTTATTGATAAAGTAATTACTTAAAAATATATTTTATGTTTATAATTCATTTAAGTAATAAATGTACATTTAATCTTTCTAGTATTCTGGGTGGTCAGTCAGCAACAAAGACAAATATTTAGCAGCACAGGTAACTTTCAAAGTGCAAAATAGAACAGAAACAATTGTGGAACTTCATCTTGATCAACAACAACAAGAAGTTGTAAAGTTAGTGGATTAATTTTTTTATAAGATCACATTATTTTTATTTATTTATTTATTTAAAAGACTCCCTTAAAGAAGAGAATTTCTGTTTTAGGGAGGAAAAAGAAGATTAAATGTAGTTTGAGTTTTGCTATTATTTGTTTATATATGGTTTAAGGTATATTAAGGATGAATACCTCTACATCCACATATACATATGAATGAAAATACAGAAAGCGTCATAGATGTCATCCTCCTAAATACTACAGTCAATATGAAATGATGCATGCCAATACCAAGTCTGTAATAGCACATTTTATATTGTCTGCAGACTTTGGCAAGGCAGTAATTATCACGCTCTATGTATAAACATTACATGTATGCACGAACATGAAGCAGTAATGTAGCAGGTTCATATTTAAATTTAAGATCGGGTGAACCATGGATCCAACGTTATCGTAATGAGTGGCTTTAGGCATAGTGAATGTGATTCTACCAAAAAATACCTGTGTACTGCGATGAAAAAGTGCAGATATCTGATTCTGCGTTTTCATGGAAATGTTTGATAACATAATATGTAAAGTAAAACTAAATGGGATTTTATGCCTATGACAAAAACTAATTGTTTAAAAAATATGTATAATTTGTTTTTAGGAAAACATGATTATTTTTTTGACATCAATGAAGATCATGATTTAAAAAAAAATCTTAAACTCAGTGGTCATTTACATGGCTGCATTTAATAATAAAGTAAAACATCCGGTAATTAAATAGTCCACTTTTGTTTTCCACCCAAGTTACAAGGTGCTACTTACGCAAATGAATCTCATTATTTTCCGTTATCGATTATAGTTTAATAACTTCTCATTGTGGCTCAACATAAACATTACTATATGTTTTTAGATTAATATTCATTGCTTTGACATAATCCACAATGAATATCAGCATTAATAATAATTTTTATTACGGAAACGATTGATTCAAATTCTTAATTCATCGAATAAGAAAATCGTAACTTTATGGAGTCTATCTGATCGTGATTAATAGAAACATTTCACGGATGCAAGTTATAAACTAACGTACATTGAAAAAGAGAATTGCATAAAGAAAATCTTATAGTAGATCTTTATTTAGTTTTCCCATATTTATACATTATATCTTTTTTCTACAGTGCTCTTAATACATCTTTTATTTTATTTCATAACTAAACTAAAATTTTTTAAATTATCTCATTGTGCTTCTTTATTTCGTAGGCAGATTGAAAAATGTAACAAATCATCACAATTTCAAACGAAGTGACACCTTTAAAAAGGTAAATGCGTGAATATCCTTCACAGAAGGAAAATAGCATTTACAATTGATCTTGATTTACATTTTATATATATATATATATTTTATATATATATGTATATATATATAAAATTAGTAAATCTCCTGATAATAAAAGCAAAATTGGTCTTTATAGGAAAAAAAAAAAAAAAATAAAAAAAAACATCAGTAAAGATATAAATTTTGCAAGAATATTTAATATCGTGTACTTAACATCTTATCATGAGCCCCATATATCTTAATAAAAATGAATAATGTTATGTAATTTATGGCGTTTTTTCGTGTAAAAATATAGGGAAGAACATATATCATGTTTTCCAATACTATTAAAATAAGAATGTAAATATGCTAGGTGAATCAAGAAATAATTCTTGCACATACAGTTCTTATATTGCTCAAGTATAATTTATAATTTTGATTGTCAATGTAGAATAGAATAAAAGTTACATAATCTTATTAACAAGTATAAAACGTGAATATAAAACCGTTTAATCATCCTATTTTATTCTGTACGTAAGCATAATTGTGTTTATATATCATATTAAATCGTAATATGAAATATAATTTAATTAAAAAAAAATCAAGTATGATCGACATTAACTGAACCAATAGATTATACATTAGTAAGGAAGATTATAAATGAATGTAAGCAAACGTGTGTTTTGAATATTAAAAGAAAAAGCGTATAAAAAGATTGCATTGCATATATATATATATATATATATATATGCTACTATATATATATATATAGTAGCATTGATTTGACATAAATTAGTGTATATTTAAAGAATTAACAAAAGACTGGAATTTTTGGTCCTTTGTTTTTATTTTATATAACTAATATATCAGTTATATCAAATTAATTTTTTTTTTGTAATGTGACATTAAAACCTTCATATTAAATAATTACATATATAAAATCCTTTTGTGCATATATTTAATAATAACAAATATAAACTTAAATAAAATTTTAATGAATTAAAAAAACAATTTATAATTTATTAATGTCGATTAAAAATATTAAAAATTTTTAATAATAATAACTATTGTATACACT